CCACAGCAACTAAACCCAAAGAATTCTCATTAGAATGTTATATACACGACATTCCCAATTATAGTTATTAATGTTGTGCACTGCTGTTTGAGCTGCGTGCGCTGAGCTAAAGACGATCAGCGGTAAACTGAAGCGCTCTTTTAACTTAACCAAACGCATTCTATATGAGATAAATCAGATATACATCAAATAAACACAACATTACAACGTACAATTGCACAAAAGGCTGCAAACGAACAGCGCGCATCTGAAGTGTCTCTGAAGGAAATAATGCATTATTTATCGGCTTTAAGATATCGGCCAAATTTTCTTATCAGGCCGATACCGATAACAGAAAAAATGAGCATTTATCGGCCGATACCGATATGGTGGCCGATATATCGTGCATCCCTAATATTTGCATATTCTGCAAGGGGTATGTAATCTTATGAGCACAACAGCATATACCCTTGTGAAAAATAAATGTGCCTTATTTTACTGAATGTGCACTTGTAGCGTGCTTAAAATATCCAAATCAATTCTCTAAAAACTGTACTTGCAGATCATATAATATTAATAAAATAAAAGTGTTCTTTCTCAAGAGAGTACACTTCCAAGATTGTTTCTTAACGCACTTACAGTAAGTACAATTTGTATTCAAATATAAAAAGTGCACTTTGTAATAATCTCAAAATTAGAAGTTTTACCTTTAAACACATTTTAAATCATTATGCTTTTAATTTGAACTGTAGTGTGTGATTCAGTATTACATTTAAAGTAATTAATGTACTAAATTGCAACTTCATCATTACAAATGTGTAATTACAAATATATTTAAATATACATGACATAAAAGTTTCAATAAAAGTGACTATATAGTATATTTTAGTTTACCATAAATGTTTGGCAGAGCATTTAGCAGTACTTTAACCATATTTCATATAAGATAATAGAAGTGATTTTGAAATGACATTAAAAAAAGTCCTACTTAAGTGGGTCAAAATTTCGGCTGATTGCATTTAATATAAACTAAACTATAATATGATTTCATTTCATTGCAATATATTATCTATACATGTAGTGCATTTTCATTTAATTGCTGTTTCACTCACAAATCACACTTAAATATATTCTTTTTGCAACAAGTGCTCTTTTAAAAGTATGCTACAGTCTTCTTTTTCTCAAGAGTTCTAAAAGAATCTTTATTATTATGTGTGTACATTTATATAGCATTGTATTAATCACCATTTCCAGTGGAGTTCTAGTAATTGTCTATGTATTTGTGTTTTAGCATGAGCTGATCTACCACACGTTTGGCCGTCAGCACTTCAAGAAGACCACGGCTAATCTGGATCTGTTCCTGCGGCGCTTTAATGAGGTTCAGCTGTGGGTGGTCACAGAGGTTTGTTTGTGTCCCACGCTCAGCAAGCGCGTCCAACTGCTCAAGAAGTTCATCAAGATCGCCGCGCAGTGAGTCTTCACTCATAAACATGTGACGTGTGTGTGTGTGTGTGTGTGTGTGTGTGTGTGTGTGATGAGTCATTTTGTTCAGAAGAGCGTTAATAATATATATGTACACATCTTGTCCCTTGTGAAAAAATTTATTATAGAAATAATACTCTAAAAGAATATACTTACTGTGAGTGCAAACTGAATGTTATGTTTCTGGATGCTTAATTGCATTTAATTGCAATACATTTAAGTGCTAAGTAATATTAATTGACTTGTGTACTTTATATATGGTTAGGGTTAGGGTTCGGCTTAGGGTTACTTGCATGTAATTATGCATAATTTATTGTTATTATAATAGTACGTACATGTAACATGTGTAACAAGGACACCTTAAAATAAAGTGTTACCAAAATGTATTATTTGTTTAAATTCAAATTAAATGCAGTAAGAGTTTTTGACCCACTTAAGTAGGACTTAAATACATCTTTATATGTATTTTTATAATTAGCTCTATTGTCTTTGAAATGGTTAAAGTGTACTACTGGATGTACACACAAGCATTTACGGTAAACTATATTGAAATGTATTTGTAATTACACATTTACACATTTGAAGTTGCAATTTAGTACAATTTAGCTTTAAATGTAATATTGAATAACAAACTGCAAATTATAATCAAGTACTTCACATGTGCTTTAGTATGTTAGTCAACATATCAAAATAAGCGTACTACTGTAATAAATGACAAAAGATTATTAAAACATAATGATTTAAAATGGACTTTAAAGTAAATCTTTTTATTTAAAATGATTACAAAGTGCATTTTTTAAAGTGTACTTAAATGTGTTATAAAGCAACATACTCCGGTGTCTCATTTTCATTAATGGTGTAGTTGTGTGTCACAGTCTATGCTGTCTAGACTGCTCTTCTCTAAATTATGTGTGTGTTTTTGCTCTTTTTAAGCTGTAAAGAGTTTAAGAATTTGAACTCATTCTTTGCCATTATCATGGGCCTGGGAAACCCTGCGGTCTGTCGACTCAGTCACACATGGGAGGTGAGTATTCAACACACACACACACACACACACAGACACAAACACACACACACACACACTCACTCACTTACACACACACACACACACTCACACACACTCACACACACACAAACACACACACACACACACACACACACAGGTTTACATTTGTGAAAAGGGGGGACATCCCATAGGCTTAATGGTTTTTATACTGTACAGACCGTATATTCTATTGCCCTACACCAACCCTACCCCTAAACCTACCCCTCACAGGAGACTTTGTGCTATTTCAGATTTTCAATACACTCCATTCTGTGTGATTTATAAGCGTTTTGAAAAGTGGGGACATGGGGTAATGTCCTGAAAAGTCACCTTCTCCTTGTAATACCTGTCATACCTTTGTCATTATACAAATTTATGTCCTCATTTGTCACAAAAATGCGCGCGCACACACACACACACACACACGCACGCACACACACGCACACAAAGACAGAAAACAGATACTGTCATGACTGACTGCTTAGTTCCATGTTTAACACTGATTCTCTGATATGCTTTTTCACAGAAACTGCCCAGCAAGTTCAAGAAGTTTTATGTAGAGTTTGAAAACCTGATGGTGAGTTCAGCATGGTAGCTCAACTGCTAGTGACCTAAACATGTCACCTAACATGAAAGCTACTTAAAGAGGATTTCAGAGATCTGTTGTCTTTCTCATTGCAGGATCCCTCTAGAAATCACCGAGCGTATCGACTTACAGTGGCCAAGCTAGAGCCACCTATCATTCCCTTCATGCCTTTGTTAATTAAAGGTGAGCGCTGCTCTGTAATCACACACACACACACACACACACACCGGTCAAATGCTGATTTATTAGTAGCATTTTCCATATATTTGAATAATATTAAAGTCTATAACTATAAACTATAAAATATTACAGATGAAAGTATAGGAACTGCTCCAGTACTGTATATTTTATTAATTAAAACAACATGTGACATACCTAAATGTTCTTTATTTGTAGTATTCTCCACATGTTTTACTATTTTTCAATTAATTAATAAAAAAAAAACATGTTAAATTCATTAATTGCAACACATCTATATGGTCTTATTAGTAGCATTCTCCACATTTTAATTCATAAATGAATTCATTAATAAAAACATGTTTTATTAATTAATGGTTAAATTTCAGTTTTGGTCAAAATGTAAATTTATTTAATAAATCAAATGATACTATAATGATTGTATATATATATATATATATGTTTTTTTTATAATTTAAAATGTAACTTATTTTGTAAGGTTCATTTGAATAATTATTCAAAACATATTTGTAAATAATATTCTGATACATAATAAAATATAATATATAATAAATAATGCATCTATTTATATGCACATATCAATTTAAGACAATAATAATGATTCATCCTCAACATAACAATAATTACATTATTAAAAATGCAATATTAAGTATACAACAAAATTAGCCACAATAAATGAAATACAACTCATACTTTTACGATTCTGTACTTCTGAATTTATTTATTTATTCACACATAATTCATGCAGTATGTGCACAATCAAAGCAAGGAGAAACTAATAACAAGTTACAGTAACTGCAATAATCTGATGAAGTCAAGAGTCAAAATTCTCATTTAATGGAAGCCACAAATCGTTGTGAAGAACTGTTTCATGACACAAAAAAGATGCAGGTTTTAGCATTGCTTAAACGTCCACTTCTGCGCTTTCAGACATGACGTTCACACACGAGGGTAACAAGACGTTTACTGACAGATTGGTGAACTTTGAGAAGATGGTGAGTTTGCGAGGGACCTATCTCACCATCTCTGAGACCGTTTTTAATGGGACTTGTTTAATATGTCTTGTGTGCTTTCCAGAGAATGATCGCAAACACAGTCAGAATCATGAGATACTGCCGGAGTCAGCCGTTCAGTAAGACACCAACATAAACCTCACATCAGACTCATGTTTGAGTTGATCTGATTCAGCGTTTCTCTCGCTTTCACCCCTGCAGATCAAGAAGCACCGCAGGCGACTGGTAAAAGCCATCAGGATGTGCGGAGCTACATGCGTCACATTAGCGTGATTGACAACCAGCGTACCCTGTCCCAGCTGTCCCACAGACTGGAGCCGCGCCGGACCTGATCCGCTCCCGTCAGTGCTGCTTCACCTCTGCCAGTCAATAAGCTAGAGCTATACATGAGCAGAAGCCTTCCTCCGCTGCAGCGTATGCACACACAAGGGCTTTCCCTCCCTTTGGCTGCTTGTGCGAAAGCGTGGCTTCATTTCAGTGTACGGCTGTGGACGTTCAGAGCTCTGTTTGTGACCTTTCTTATATTCTCCCACGGATCAGATGTTGCCCTTGCTTTCAGATTGTGTTTGGAACAGTTGGACACTTTAAATGGTGTTTTGGCGTTTCAAAGAGTTTGTCCTGTGGGAGCTTTTTTCATCACTTAAAGGATATTCTGAGTTTGCTGATCTTAAAAATACAGTTAAAAAATTTGGGGTTAGTATGGTTTGTTTTGTTTTTTTAAAGAAATTAATACTTGGCAAGGATGCATTAAATTGATGAAAAGTGACAGTGAAGACATTTATAATGTTACAAAAGATTTCAAATAAATGCTGTTCTTTTGAGCTTTGTATTCATCAAATAATCCTAAAAATATATCACAGTCTCCACAAAAAACAAACTAAAACACACAAATATATATATATATATATATATTAGTGCTATCAAACGATTAATCACGATTAATCGCATTCAAAATAAAAGTATTTGTTTACATAATATATGTGTGTGTGTGCTGTGTATGTTTATTATGTATATATAAATACACACACATGCATGTATATATTTAAGAAAAATATGTTAAATGTATATATTAAACATGTTTCTATATGATGTCAATTATATAAATATAAATATATACATGTAAATATTTTCAAAATATACATGCATGTGTGTGTATTCATATAAGCATAATAAATATACACAGAACACACACATACAGTATATTATGCAAACAAACACTTATTTTGGATGCAATTAATCGCGATTAATCGTTTGACAGCACTAATATATATATATATATATTATTTTTAATTTATTAATTTATTATAATAATAGAAGGATCGTGTGAATGAATAAATAAATAAATGCAGCCTTGGTAAGCATAAGAAACTTCTTTCAAAAACATAAAAAAATATTACCAACTCCAAACTTTTGAATGAAAGTGTTTATCAATCATCTCAAAGCATTTCGGATTTCATTTCTACTTGTTTTTTAAGATTATGATTTATGGAAGTTTTGGACTGGATGTAAATTTTATCAAGATATTTATATCATCATGAAAAAGAAAAAAGAAAAAGGAAATGGTGAAATGAGAAATGATGAGCACATTTCAAAAGCCTGTTGTTGGCTTGTCTGCAAACTTTATACCTCTGTGTGTCTTGTGTGAATGAAACTGTGGTAAGAGGACACGTTACAGACAGTCTTTTTTTTTTATTCGTAATTATGTATTGTCTTTTTCAATTTGTCTCAGTTGATTTCGTATAGTTTACAGCTTAAGAACAAATTTTTATCATTAGGATATAAAGATCATGTTCCATGAAGATATTTTGTAAATTTCCTACCGTAAATATATCAAAACTTAATTTTTGATTAGTAATATGCATGGCTAAGAACTTCATTTGGACAACTTTAAAGATGATTTTCTCAATATTTAGATTTTTTTGCACCCTCAGATTCCAGATTTTCAAATAGTTGTATCTCAGCCAAATATTGTCCCATCCTAACAAACCATACATCAATGGAAAGCTTATTTATTCAGATGGTGCACAATTTCAAAAACCGCACCCATATGACTGGTTTTGTGGTCACATATTATAAAATTAATACATTTTGATTATGTACACATTTTCAAATTGATTTTAATATATGATAATATGTTATAATAAATCACTATAATTATTGTGAATGCATATTTAAAAAATAGGGTTTATTTTAGTTGTGTTCAACTGAATACGTTTATAATTCTTATATGATTAATATTTTACGTGTAATTTTTAATATATAATTTAAAAACAATGACCACAATGGATCTGTTTTAAATGTTCTTTATTTATTAAATGATAAAAGATTCTTTCTTAAATCACACCCTTTTTAATGCACGGTGTGCAGGATTCAGTACTATTGTGGTTTAGGGTGGTTTGTGTAGCGTCCGCTGGGTGTCGCTGTTTCTCTCCCGCTCCGCTGCGGCACTCACTGCGCAGTTCTGATGTTAGCAGCTCTGAGCAGGAAGAAGTTGTTACACGTGAAAACACCGCAGCGGACGCTGCAAATATCTCAGTCACAAGTTCAGCCAAGATCTTCTTGACTGCTGTCCATCTCTCCTGGGAAGACTGTCAGCGGAGTACAGGAGTGCGGGTACGTGTGTGTGTCTGTGTGTGTGTGTCTGTGTCTGTGTCTGTGTGTGTGTGTGTGTGAGAGAGAGTGAGTGTGCGCTAATGTGTGTGAGTGTGTGTGACTGTGTGTGAGTGTGTGTGTATGAGTGTGTGTGTGCGTGTGTGAGTGTGTGTGTGTGTGCTAGTGTGTGAGTGTGTGTGAGTGTGTGTGTGTGAGTGCGTGTGTGTATGTGTGAGTGAGTGTGAGTGTGTGCTAGTGAGTGTGTGTGAGTGCAAGTGTGTGTGTGTGTGTGTGTGTGTGCGTGTGTGAGTGTGTGTGTGTGTGTGTGTGTGCTAG